TAGGGAAAACGACGAACTGCAAGTTGCTAACATATCATAATGTAAAATGTGTGGTTCAATGGGCAACATGATATATATGAGGCCCAAAACATCATCCCACCATCCACCATGCCCCATCCTTTTTGTAATCCTTTCTTGCCCAACTACCACGATAGAGAAAAACAAGAGAAAGGAGAAGATGAGTGAGATGTACGGAAAGAAAATAGAAAGAGAAAGGAGATATCTGTCCAGAAGATATCCATACCTGCGCCGTGTCAAATGCATCGCTCAATAAGATCAACCCCTCCGGCCAATTCAGGGCGAGGGCCAAGCAAGTAAACTCTGTCATACAGAAAAACAAGAAATCAACGCCGGACATGAAGAAATCCCTCAGTGCAATCCGCTCTCCCCGGTCGCCGCCATATGCGCCTGGCAATCCACCATCATCTTGACCATTGCTGAAACAGTCTCGAGGCGAGTCAGCACGACCTTGTTGCCCTCGACAAAGCCCAGGCAGTGATACTTGACGCCCGTCTTCTCGGAAAAGGCGCGGACGAGCTTCTGTCCTTTGCGCAGGTTGTGCCGGGGCACGCGCGGAAACAAGTGGTGTACGGCCTGGAACTGGAGGCCGCCATGGAACCAGTCCATCCATTCGGGGCAGTCAACGTCCATGGTCGTGCGCAGCTGACGGGCAGGGAAGGATTCGCCAGGGCCGAGGTCAGAGGTCGGCATGCCCCAGTGGGAGAGGGTGATTTGCACGTGCAAAATCATGGTGGAGATGTGGGAGATGAGGACGAAGCCAACGACGGTCGGGAAGTCCGGCAGGTAGCAGTAGCACAGGAGGTAGCCGAAAATATACCAGTAGCAGGCCATGAAAACGAGCTCGACGGGACGGGTCCATGATGCTGCGCCGAGTTGTGCTGCACGCGGAGAGACGAGATGCAGCCAGCCGAGAAAGTAGAGGTTGAAGCGGGCCAAAGCCATAATGGGATAGTACCACCATTTCTGGTAGGGGGTGGCGAGATCGCAAGCCGCGTCCCATACGAAACGGAAATTGTAAAAGGAGGAGAGAATGGACTTCATGTATGTGGGTGTAGTGCAAAACAGGGGGATGTTTTGGATATCGGGATCGTGTTCGGGCATGTTGGTGATCAAGTGGTGAACGTTGTGGCTAGACTTCCACCAGCCGATGCTGAGACCGGAACAGAAGTCTGCAATGAAAGCGCCAATGAGGGTGTCGTATACAAAGTTTCCCGTGATGCCACGATGGCCGGCGTCGTGGGCAGTAAACATGATTTGTTGCTGCGAGACTGTCAGTGCATTGGCCAGAAGTGAGCGATGCATCGCACACGTACCCAGAACAGACCGAGGAACATGGCAGATGTCAGGTACCATTTGCTATACAGCAGGTAGGCAAAGGCAGCGAAAAGGATGCTGTAGCGGAGTGACTCCCAGGCATAGGCCCTGTAGTTGCATTGGTAGAGTCCTTGATCCTTGAATTGCTGGTGCAGCTCGCGATAATCTTGGATGATGGCATTTTGCGTCTCCGGGTCGAGAGACGGGTTCTCGGCGAGGCCGATTGCAATTTCCTTTTGTTCCTGCTCGATAGCAAACTGCTCTCTGTGCGCCTTCTTTTCTGCTTCAGCCTGGGCCTGACTCTTCTTCGCGCCCCGGGTGGATGTGACGTTCTCCAATAGCGGAAGCTTCTCAAGATCGGATGACGACTTGCCCGTGCTGCTGCACACGCAGCTGTCTTGTCCCATGATCTTTTTGCCGATGAGCGTGGCAGCCTTGAGGAGATGGTTAGCCTGGGCTGTCTTGGACAACCAACAACGTGGTGAGATATGGGGAGAGACGAACGGAACCAAGGTCAACGCTCTTTGCACGCTGGGCCTTGTCACCCATGGGCTGGGCTTTGGCCTTGACGGTGGCTACCTTGTTCCTCTTGTCCAGGTTTAGGTAGTAATCTTCGCGGCGAATGGGAGGCTCGAGGTTGGACCAGGGTAATTGGACGCGACCAATGCGGTGTTTAGTCATCATGAGGATAGCCTTGTTGGAGTGGTAGCTGGGCTGGGGTCAGTTCGTGTATTTTGCTTACTCAGAACTTAAAAGTGAGTTCTGCAGCAGGTTCGCGCGGGAACGGGAAGGCCGTCGTTGCCAAAAATGGCATGGTTCGTGGTAGGTAGGTAGGTGGGTAGGTAGGTGGGTAGGTAGATGGCGGTAGCTGGGTACCTACATATCGATCTCGTCGGTTGCATCACGACCCACCATGTGCAGAATGGCAAGCTTGCCGCCAGGATGATGGGCAATCCAGTCTCCGAGCTGCAGGACATGACCGTGGTAGATGACGAGTGGCTCGCCCTGGTCGACTCTCTGCTGAATCTCCGCCGGGGAGATGATGGGGTGGGTGGTCGACATGTTAGGGGGTAGACCGATAGGTGGTTGTTTGTAAGAGAGCGACTGCAGTGGGTGGTGGTTCTGGTGTTGTTTTTGTTTTGATTGTGGCTGTGGTTGTGGTTGTGGTCGTGGTCGCGGTTCGTGGTTGTTTAGCAGCAAAGAGGGGGGAGAGGGCAGGCAGGACACGAGCTAGAATATAAAAAGGGTCAGGGTCAGGGTCCCAGCTCAAAGTTGATTTTTTTGCGGAGCTTTTGGCGATGTGGGCAAGCAACGTCGAGTTTTGGGGGCAGATTTTCCCGTGTGCTCGGGTGGTAGAGTGGTAGTCCCGGAATCTGAGCGTTTACGAAAGGGGGCTGAGCACTAATGCGTCACTCCTCCCAGGCCTGCTTGCTAGTCGTCCTCGCAACACGCACCCCCCGCCCCAAAGGTTGTTTAGTGAGTGGTGGCTAGTTGGACAGTGGACCGCCAACCTGGTAGATTGATTAGGACGAGGCCACACAGCCCCTTGAACCCGCCGTCATCGTCCCGCGACACGGTGGATCCGCCTGGAGACCCTTTTTTGGGGCCTCGGTGTTATCCACTGTTTTCGCGTTCTCGACGAGGCTAATTGACGAAGGCCGGGGCATAGTGCCCTGGCCCTGCGAGCAGAGGGGGGATGGGCGTTGCACTTGTCCACTGGCACCAACAAAAGACTGGCGTTCCAGCTGGATGCAGTGCTAGGAGTAGACTGCCAGTCTCCTTTACGGCAGGTCAGATGGTGCCATTTGATTGATGCCAAGGGTCAAGGGTCTTGGAAGAACAAGGTGGCGTGCGCCCCGAAGCAGGTTTGCTAGGTACCTTGGTTGTAGAGAGTAGTATCAATGGGTGTACATTGTGAGCTACTTGCACCAGGTGGGCTACTCTACTTGTAGGTGGCTAGGTGGTGAGAGTACAATGTATACATAGAGTACTCCTACTGTACATTCTTACTTTGCGGCTGTCCATCTTAGCGCCATCTGGTCCCAGGCCCGAAATGCTGGACAAGGCGCGCTGACCAAGTTTGGACCCTGGTTGGACCCTGAATTTCCCTCCCTTTGCCAGAACAGGGCTAGTGTCTGCTGTGCGGGGGGAAGGGACATGCGCGGCCCCACTGATTGGCTGCCGCTGTTTCACCCCCTGTGTCCGCACCAGGCTTAGGGGTATAGCTGCCTGTGCAGAAATCCTACAAAACCCATCCATGTTTGTATTCTACCATCACCATTACCTACGGACCGAGACTTCACGCACAACACAATCAGCCCTCTGCAAGATATCAAGCATTTTTGCATACTATACAGCACGAGTAAAGACGTGGATCCATCTGAATCTGCTCCCACCTCTCGCTACCTATCACACGCCAGATACCCCTCTCGACATCGGCCCGCCCCCATGTCAGACATACCTGTGCCGTTCTTTATCCAAGATCATCGCCCCGATTGCAGGCAGATACACCTCCTCGGGGAAACTCTGACTCGGAAATCACGCATCTGCCCTACCTGGGTATCCCTGTCTGTTCCTGCTGATTTGCCAGCTATGTACAGTGCTTGGAATGCATGCCATCATGTTCGACATCAAACCTGTTACAATGCCATGCATATGCGAGATCCAACTTGGGAGTAGTAGTAGTAGTAGTAGTAGTAGTAGTAGTAGTAGTAGATTTACCAGTGCGTAACTCCTACCGTACTGTGTATTGTATACAAGTACATGGCATATACCAGCCAACCAACCAATCACGCCGTATCTTCCCTCCCACCAACCCCATGCCCGAAGAAATCCCACAGTCTCCCGCCTAGCGTTAAACCACGGTAAAAGCGAGCACGGGAAACCAACTGCAATCATTGGAGGTTTGCTGGTTGGGTGGATTAAAGGTCTTGCACGATGGTTCCAAAGCTAGAATGAATATACTGCACGCACACAAGCTAGTCCTGTGTAGGCATAGTGTCTGATTGCTCTTTCTTTCTGACACCCGCTGTACCGGCCCAGACTGTGTGTCCGCAACTTCCTGTCAACACAGCTAGGGAGGGGGAAGAGCCAAGGGGATATGGAAGTATACATCGCATTGTACCGTCCTATAACACTCTATCTTGAATATGTGATAAACTCCATGACAAAACTCCTCTTCAATGGTCTTTTGGCAGCAACTACAAACTGAGTCTTTGACTTTTAGTTGTGTTTTTGCCTTTCGGCCCAAGGCGAAAATAATCATATAGTCAGAAATCTACGACAAAGCCAGGGATGGTTTGGTAGATCATTTGTATTGCTTCTCAATATCGTATTCTATGCCATGTCTTAACATCTCATCGCATTTCCATACTTTCTAGGCAATACTCGATTCCATCATCTCTCCCTCTCATCTCCAGCATTCCATTACCATGCCTGTCCCAGGCCATTCCCTCTTCTCTCCCTCTACAAAGCCCACGCCAAAGCCCCGACCAACACAGCGACAACGCCCTTTGCCGCACCGCCAAGGCCGGCAGCAGCGGCAGCATTAGCAGTCTGCTGTGCAGGCGGCAGGGGAGATGTACTCGCAGCCGCACTCGCAGAAGCATTCAGACTGGCGCTCACGCTCGAGACTGCAGATCCAGATGCGCCGCTGGCGGCGGGTGCGGTGGTTGGTTCTGCGACGCCAGAGGGGCAGTGCCTGTTGAGGTGTGTTAGTTTGGGGTTTGGATTTTGTGTGTGGTTGGTTGGGCATGCAAGAAGAAAAGGAGTGGGGAAGAAAAGGCGCAATGAAGGGAAAGAGGCGTACCAGTGGTCACCGTGGGGCTCGCAGGTAGTGGCCGTAACATCGTCATCGTGGTGGTGGTCATCACCGTCATGGTCGCTGTGGGACGGGGTAGGGGTTGGTGCAGCGGTTACAGTGAGAGCAGCGGTTCCGGGAGCCACGGTGGGCTCTGGGACGCCGGGAGGGCAGTGCCTTTGCATCGTTGTTAGTATTCTGCTATCTCGTTCTCTCCCTCTCTGTCCCATTTCTTTGTAGCGCTTTGGAGGGACACAGGATCTGTAAAGAGGAACAATCAACTTACCAGTGATCATCATGTGGTTCGCAGACTCCACTTGCCGTCGCAGAGACGCCATCGTGAGAGTGATCATGGTCATGGTCATGGTCGTCGCCGTCGGCATGAGGAGATGGTGAAGCCGCAGGAGGAGCCGTAGGTTCAGGAACGCCTGAGGGGCAGTGCCTGGTTTTTGCATTTAGCAGACTGTCGGTAGTTATGTAGAAGTTCCTTACCAGTGATCACCATGAGGTTCGCACGAAGCAGTAGCAGCAACGTTATCCTGCGCCACGGCCAGAGTCGCCGCCGCAACCAAGAGTGAAAGGCGGAGCTTCATATGGACCTGGGAGTGGATTTCGTAACGACCGTCTCTCTGGGGGAGGGGGTAGCGGGAGGAAACAGGGGACCGACGGACCCAAGGTGCGCGTACGGGGTAGGTGTAGGAGGAACAGTGGTGCAACAACCG